CTACAGGTGGCCTCCCAGATGTGTACACGGCCCCGTGTGTACTACAGGTGGCCTCCCAGATGTGTACACGGCCCCGTGTGTACTACAGGTGGCCTCCCAGATGTGTACACGGCCCCGTGTGTACTACAGGTGGCCTCCCAGATGTGTACACGGCCCCGTGTGTACTACAGGTGGCCTCCCAGATGTGTACACGGCCCCGTGTGTACTACAGGTGGCCTCCCAGATGTGTACACGGCCCCGTGTGTACTACAGGTGGCCTCCCAGATGTGTACACGGCCCCGTGTGTACTACAGGTGGCCTCCCAGATGTGTACACGGCCCCGTGTGTACTACAGGTGGCCTCCCAGATGTGTACACGGCCCCGTGTGTACTACAGGTGGCCTCCCAGATGTGTACACGGCCCCGTGTGTACTACAGGTGGCCTCCCAGATGTGTACACGGCCCCGTGTGTACTACAGGTGGCCTCCCAGATGTGTACACGGCCCCGTGTGTACTACAGGTGGCCTCCCAGATGTGTACACGGCCCCGTGTGTACTACAGGTGGCCTCCCAGATGTGTACACGGCCCCGTGTGTACTACAGGTGGCCTCCCAGATGTGTACACGGCCCCGTGTGTACTACAGGTGGCCTCCCAGATGTGTACACGGCCCCGTGTGTACTACAGGTGGCCTCCCAGATGTGTACACGGCCCCGTGTGTACTACAGGTGGCCTCCCAGATGTGTACACGGCCCCGTGTGTACTACAGGTGGCCTCCCAGATGTGTACACGGCCCCGTGTGTACTACAGGTGGCCTCCCAGATGTGTACACGGCCCCGTGTGTACTACAGGTGGCCTCCCAGATGTGTACACGGCCCCGAGTGTACTACAGGTGGCCTCCCAGATGTGTACACGGCCCCGAGTGTACTACAGGTGGCCTCCCAGATGTGTACACGGCCCCGTGTGTACTACAGGTGGCCTCCCAGATGTGTACACGGCCCCGTGTGTACTACAGGTGGCCTCCCAGATGTGTACACGGCCCCGTGTGTACTACAGGTGGCCTCCCAGATGTGTACACGGCCCCGTGTGTACTACAGGTGGCCTCCCAGATGTGTACACGGCCCCGTGTGTACTACAGGTGGCCTCCCAGATGTGTACACGGCCCCGTGTGTACTACAGGTGGCCTCCCAGATGTGTACACGGCCCCGTGTGTACTACAGGTGGCCTCCCAGATGTGTACACGGCCCCGTGTGTACTACAGGTGGCCTCCCAGATGTGTACACGGCCCCGTGTGTACTACAGGTGGCCTCCCAGATGTGTACACGGCCCCGTGTGTACTACAGGTGGCCTCCCAGATGTGTACACGGCCCCGTGTGTACTACAGGTGGCCTCCCAGATGTGTACACGGCCCCGTGTGTACTACAGGTGGCCTCCCAGATGTGTACACGGCCCCGTGTGTACTACAGGTGGCCTCCCAGATGTGTACACGGCCCCGTGTGTACTACAGGTGGCCTCCCAGATGTGTACACGGCCCCGTGTGTACTACAGGTGGCCTCCCAGATGTGTACACGGCCCCGTGTGTACTACAGGTGGCCTCCCAGATGTGTACACGGCCCCGTGTGTACTACAGGTGGCCTCCCAGATGTGTACACGGCCCCGTGTGTACTACAGGTGGCCTCCCAGATGTGTACACGGCCCCGTGTGTACTACAGGTGGCCTCCCAGATGTGTACACGGCCCCGTGTGTACTACAGGTGGCCTCCCAGATGTGTACACGGCCCCGTGTGTACTACAGGTGGCCTCCCAGATGTGTACACGGCCCCGTGTGTACTACAGGTGGCCTCCCAGATGTGTACACGGCCCCGTGTGTACTACAGGTGGCCTCCCAGATGTGTACACGGCCCCGTGTGTACTACAGGTGGCCTCCCAGATGTGTACACGGCCCCGTGTGTACTACAGGTGGCCTCCCAGATGTGTACACGGCCCCGTGTGTACTACAGGTGGCCTCCCAGATGTGTACACGGCCCCGTGTGTACTACAGGTGGCCTCCCAGATGTGTACACGGCCCCGTGTGTACTACAGGTGGCCTCCCAGATGTGTACACGGCCCCGTGTGTACTACAGGTGGCCTCCCAGATGTGTACACGGCCCCGTGTGTACTACAGGTGGCCTCCCAGATGTGTACACGGCCCCGTGTGTACTACAGGTGGCCTCCCAGATGTGTACACGGCCCCGTGTGTACTACAGGTGGCCTCCCAGATGTGTACACGGCCCCGTGTGTACTACAGGTGGCCTCCCTGGACCTAGATTCACGAAGCTCCATGCTTTTCTTCGTAAGTGTGTGTGCTACGAAGGTTCCTAAGTACCGGCTAAGAACGCACCAAAGGGCGATTCAGAAAAGTATACGTACGAAGATTTTTATGTAGTTCACTTAAATCTCGCTAGATGTCACTAGGGCTTTTAGTTTGGCCAATGAGAGAGACGGTAACATTTTTCATCTTACAGCTGTAGCCAATCACGACGCTGGCATATCGGAGCTTATCCGTGATGCACTTGCCACTTATTTACGTCGAGTTTTCTTATAAAATTAGTACATTTCGAAGTAAAACAATGTTTTATCAACTTGTACAGTCAGCACCGACATTGTAGTAAACAAATATGTTACATTTTTTGTTTACCTCCGTAATTCTAAGAGATAGTGAATAGCTTTCCTTGTCGCTCCCAAGATTTGAGAAGCGATGGTATTTATTTATGTATATATTTACCTAACTTTACCCAAGTGCCACTAACTATCTAGTGGCCTCGACGAGGACAAAAAGCCGGCGGCTTGTTAAGTCCCACCAATTGTCCTAATGATATTGTCTAGCTGGATTTTGGCATTTACGCCTTCAGCGGGTAGGCGGTTCCTTGGGTTTATAACCCTCTGGGTGAAAAAAAAAGCATTTGTTTTCAGTCCTATTTGAGAGGATATGCTCTTCAACACTATATCTGTGATTGTCCTGTTATCAGTGACCTCAGACCAAATGGTATGAGATACTTTGAGCTCTGTAATTACTTCATACACTCAGGAATATTGGAAGATATTCTTGTGCTGTACCCAGATTTTGCCAGTGGAGGCTAATAGATCAGCCTTATATTTCTTATTCTCTCCTGATTCCATGTATGACTGGCCGTCCTGTGAGGTGGGGATGTTGGATGAGGTTGTAGCTAGTTTATGATCTACACTGTAATCTTTCATATAGAATAGGGTAGCAGCACATTGCTCTGTATACTTAAGCATGTTAATAAAAAGAAATCAGTAATAAAGGTTTTAAATTGTAGCTTGTATTATTATTGTTACCAGGATTATCCTTATTAAATCATAAATGTTAACCATGGATCATTAAGATCTCATAGTGATATGTAATGTTAGTAAATTGTGCAGTATGTCTCAAGTTTTCACTTCTTTGGATATACATTACAAGAAAATAAGATAAACAACCCATAAATATTTGTTTCATTATATTTTTTTATTTAAATAACTAGATCAATATTTTTACAGCTGACAGGATTTGTTTTACTCACAGGTGCATTACCTGTTAAAAAAATTGGTTTATTATTACACACAATGCTGCTACATAGCCTTCCTGGCTTGGTGCCTTCTTTTGATAATTATTGTCACTCAGCCAAATTGTGTAACAGGAAGAGGTCTTGGACACACATTTGTTCCATGCTAAATGTAGAGGAATTAGCTGGCATTAATTCCTCAAATAAAATAGCCTGCCTCAGCTTATAAGGTAAATAAAATAAAATAAGCATTCCTCAAATAAGTAGCTGCCTCACCTTACTGCCTTTACTGCGACATAGCCTTCCCAGCTTGGTGCCTTCTTTTGATAATTACTTATTGTTACACAGCCAAATTGTGTAACAGGAAGAGGTCTTGGACTCCTACTTCCCCCTCTCTTTTTTAACAGGCCATAATAGTTCATATAGTTATAATTATAGGTTTAAGTATTCAATGAGAAGTTTTTGAAGTTTTTACCCTAATCTAAAATCATTTGTGCAGCACATTTTTCTTTTATGTCTCACTCAGATTTAATTTCAAAATAAAACCAAACAAAATAAATTAAAAAGGGGCATGTATAGCTAAGGTACACCCCCTAGCTATACTTATAACTAGGTGAACAGGGGCATTTGGTGATAGAAATGCTCCCACCAGCCCAAGTTCATCACATCTCATATTTCATCTTCACCAGTGTTTATTTACTTAATAACTACTGGTATAATATCTTGCTATTATAGAACTAATTTTAATATCATAAAAAGACATATTTACTACAAGTTTAGCAGAGAATTCATATATAGTTAACACGAAGGACTCCGTCTTGAAACTCTCCAGCTAAAATGTTTTGTTTATAAGAAAATCGATCCTGTGTGTTGTGCAGTAGAGAAAAATTAAGTTATATCCAGTTTACGTAAAGCTACGAGTGGTCGAGGCCGTCCTTCAACCAAGGCGGTGTACTTACGAAAAGTTTGTCCTTCTTAAATGCCTACCTGAATACCGACGTAGCCGCTACGAAGGTGTTAAGAAGAGACATTCGTAAGTACGCACATAACTGCTTCGTGAATCTGGCTTGGTGTGTACAAGGCCCCCGGGGCCAGATTCACGTAAGCACTTACGCAAACACTTACGAACCTGTATATCTTTTCTCAATCTTTGGCGACTTTGTTTCCAATTATTAAACAGTTAATGAGCTCCGAAGCACCAGTAGGCTGTTTGTAACAATAACAACAGTTGAATGGGAAGTTTTCATGCTTGTAAACTGTTTAATAAATGTAACCAAAGCCGTCAAAGATTGAGGAAAGATGTACACGTTCGTAAGTGCTTGCGTAAGTGCTTCGTGAATCTGGTCCCTGGCCACTATAGTTATGTGACTTTCTACGTGCATATTTATGGCCATTCTGGCACCTTGCTTTCTCTATTATGTTTATGCTCTAAGGTTTTGTTTTGAAACTTTAATAAAGTAATTATTTTTAAATAGGTCGGAAGGGTAGAGCCGCCATCACTAGCACAAACTTCTGCCACTGACCACCAGAGGCGCGACAGTCGCCGCCACAGGTAAGTGTGGTTTAAAGAGTAACTCAAGTATTTACATAATCTTTGCCAACAGTGCAAACAGCAGTTCATTTCTGTCGTTATTGATGACCTTCTTCAACCACTTGTTAAATGTTTACATTTGTTTTGATCTTCTATCTATGCAACTGAAAACTCACACCCCAGAAGTGACTCGAAACCATACTGCCAGGAGCATATATGCCTGGGGACCGTTCAAGGTTGTTCGCATTTGTGTTCCTCACGTGTGCCCCAAAGAATGAGGTGATTTGATAAAATACCATGCCCAAGGTATGGTATTGATGGCAAGGTGCCCATCAGAGTGCCGGCGGGATGATGGGGAATTAGCCTCGGCTACCATCATATTTTGTCCGGTCGTGATGGTCAAGAGGTCCTGTACACTAGTTGCAAAGTTCTCCTGGCAATATGGGTTCGAGTCATTTCTGGGGTGTGAGTTTTCAGTTATATTCTGACCCCTGAAGAATTCGAACCCAGTCAGCCAGGGTCTTTGTACTCCTTGACATGTCCAGTACTATATCCACTCAACCACAGACTGAACAAAAGTATTGGAAAGTCGTTTGACTTATAACCCTAATACCCGACAGCACTCGTCACTATTTTTGGGAAAGATATTTCATCTGTGTTCGTCCTCCTTGGAACATCTTAAAGTGAGACATGATGTTTGTCATGAATGGTGAGGAGAAGGTAGAGGTGAGGTGCAGGTTAGGGGAGTCAAGGTGGGAGACTCGGGTGTTGAAGAACGTCATACCTTCCTAACCGGGAGCCGGTCGGCCGAGCGGACAGCACGCTGGACTTGTGATCCTGTGGTCCTGGGTTCGATCCCAGGCGCCGGCGAGAAACAATGGGCAGAGTTTCTTTCACCCTGTGCCCCTGTTACCTAGCAGTAAATAGGTACCTGGGTGTTAGTCAGCTGTCACGGGCTGCTTCCTGGGGGTGGAGGCCTGGTCGAAGACCGGGCCGCGGGGACACTAAAGCCCCGAAATCATCTCAATATAACCTCAAGAGATTCCATTGGGTGGGAGTCTGGGCCTCAATGTTAGTAATCACACAAAGTCGTTGTTTCCTAAGTTTATATTTGGTATTTTTCTTTGAGGATTACTTTGATGAGGATTACTTTGATGAGGATTACTTTGATGAGGATTACTTTGATGAGGATTACTTTGATGAGGATTACTTTGATGAGGATTACTTTGATGAGGATTACTTTGATGAGGATTACTTTGATGAGGATTACTTTGATGAGGATTACTTTGATGAGGATTACTTTGATGAGGATTACTTTGATGAGGATTACTTTTAGAATTTGTAATGTGTCGTCAGTTGCAGAATCAAGTATCTGTGTGTTGCTCAAACATTGTCCTAGTAATTACCACATCGTGAACACTGCTTCGCTGACCACAAATAATCGACAACAGAACATAAAAACCTAACCTAACTTACGCCTAACTCTACACTGAACTTTAATGTATAATAATATTCATGTATAAATGAGAACAAACCTATTTTTAATACTCTATGTTAAAATTGATGAATGCGTCTTGGTGAGGGAGGTGGGAGGGCCGCAGCTTTAACGAGCCTGGCCTGAAGACAGGTTGCCACTCCACGGGGTCAAGCTTCAGTCCAACAACAGTAAACAACCGTTAACATATTTGCCGTATCACAGACCTCCAATAACAGTAAAAGTCAAATTCTCCATATCTTTATCGGTACAAGGGTCTACCACCCTAGGTGGCGGACCTACCAGTCATGGGTCTACCACCCAAGGTGGCGGACCTACCAGTCATGGGTCTACCACCCAAGGTGGCGGACCAACCAGTCATGGGTCTACCACCCAAGGTGGCGGACCTACCAGTCATGGGTCTACCACCCAAGGTGGCGGACCTACCAGTCATGGGTCTACCACCCTAGGTTGCAGACCTACCAGTCATGGATCTACCACCCTAGGTGGCGGACCTACCAGTCATGGGTCTACCACCCAAGGTGGCGGACCTACCAGTCATGGGTCTACCACCCAAGGTGGCGGACCTACCAGTCATGGGTCTACCACCCAAGGTGGCGGACCTACCAGTCATGGGTCTACCACCCTAGGTGGCGGACCTACCAGTCATGGGTCTACCACCCTAGGTGGCGGACCTACCAGTCATGGGTCTACCACCCTAGGTGGCGGACCTACCAGTCATGGGTCTACCACCCTAGGTTGCGGACCTACCAGTCATGGGTCTACCACCCTAGGTTGCGGACCTACCAGTCATGGGTCTACCACCCTAGGTTGCGGACCTACCAGTCATGGGTCTACCACCCTAGGTTGCGGACCTACCAGTCATGGGTCTACCACCCTAGGTTGCGGACCTACCAGTCATGGGTCTACCACCCAAGGTTGCGGACCTACCAGTCATGGGTCTACAGTCACCCAAGGTGGCGGACCTACCAGTCATGGGTCTACCACCCTAGGTGGCGGACCTACCAGTCATGGGTCTACCACCCAAGGTGGCGGACCTACCAGTCATGGGTCTACCACCCAAGGTGGCGGACCTACCAGTCATGGGTCTACTACCCAAGGTGGCGGACCTACCAGTCATGGGTCTACCACCCAAGGTGGCGGACCTACCAGTCATGGGTCTACAAGGTGGCGGACCCAGTCAGGTGGCGGACCTACCAGTCATGGGTCTACTACCCAAGGTGGCGGACCTACCAGTCATGGGTCTACTACCCAAGGTGGCGGACCTACCAGTCATGGGTCTACTACCCAAGGTGGCGGACCTACCAGTCATGGGTCTACTACCCAAGGTGGCGGACCTACCAGTCATGGGTCTACTACCCAAGGTGGCGGACCTACCAGTCATGGGTCTACTACCCAAGGTGGCAGACCTACCAGTCATGGGTCTACCCTAGGTGGCAGACCTAGGATAGGCCCGTGCCAGGAACTACCATAGGTCTGTCTTCCTACTTGTCTTCCCTAGAACACAGCCTTCCAATGTGTTTACAACCAGGTCTACATTGACTGCTGGGAGAACCGGGACAAACTATTAAGGATAGGTCTGCCGCCGACTCTCCCTACCCAGGAATCGTACCGTGCTGACATCAATGTGTGTGTGTGTACCGTGTACTGGGTGCCTCTCTCCTTGGCACCCTCGCCTCTCCCTCCTTCCTCACACAGCAGTTTGCTCCTTCTCTCTCTCCTTTCTTCCTCCACTATGCCCCTTTCTTCAAGTCCGTTCGCTCCTCACCATTTCAAAATCTTTTTTCTTTCTTATTTTTCCTGACCCGCATCTCCGTCACCCTCTCCGAAACGGTCTCCAACCACCGCCTGTCGACCTGTACTCGGCCCGCTTCACACCGCCCTGGCCCCCTGCCCCCAACCCGCACCTCACTACCCCCCATCAACCCACCAGCCCTCACCCCCACCTCTGCCAGCCGCCAACACCCCCACCCCGCCGCCCTCTTTTCTTGCTAGGTCAGTATGCTGGTCGCACGGCCTCCGGGACTCTGGTAATGGCCGACATGGATTTGTAAAGGCGAAAAAAACAGGTGGGTGTATTGTTTACGGGAAGTTATAGCCTGTACACCCCGCCCTCTGGTGGCCCAGGTGGACGGGACTCGAACCTGTCTGGTTGTGGAGGTTCTGGCCGTGGGTGGGGCTAAGACAGGGGGTTCTGGCCGTGGGTGGGGCTAAGACAGGGGGTTCTGGCCGTGGGTGGGGCTAAGACAGGGGGGTTCTGGCCGTGGGTGGGGCTAAGACAGGGGGTTCTGGCCGTGGGTGGGGCTAAGACAGGGGGGTTCTGGCCGTGGGTGGGGCTAAGACAGGGGTTCTGGCCGTGGGTGGGGCTAAGACAGGGGGTTCTGGCCGTGGGTGGGGCTAAGACACGGGGGTTCTGGCCGTGGGTGGGGCTAAGACAGGGGGTTCTGGCCGTGGGTGGGGCTAAGACGGGTTCTGGCCGTGGGTGGGGCTAAGACGGGTTCTGGCCGTGGGTGGGGCTAAGACAGGGGGTTCTGGCCGTGGGTGGGGCTAAGACAGGGGGTTCTGGCCGTGGGTGGGGCTAAGACACGGGGGTTCTGGCCGTGGGTGGGGCTAAGACAGGTGGTTCTGGCCGTGGGTGGGGCTAAGACAGGGGTTCTGGCCGTGGGTGGGGCTAAGACAGGGGGTTCTGGCCGTTTGTGGGGCTAAGACACGGGGGTTCTGGCCGTGGGTGGGGCTAAGACAGGGGGTTCTGGCCGTGGGTGGGGCTCAGACAGGGGTTCTGGCCGTGGGTGGGGCTAAGACAGGGGTTCTGGCCGTGGGTGGGGCTAAGACAGGGGGTTCTGGCCGTGGGTGGGGCTAAGACAGGGGGTTCTGGTCGTGGGTGGGGCTAAGACAGGGGGTTCTGGCCGTGGGTGGGGCTAAGACAGGGGTTCTGGCCGTGGGTGGGGCTAAGACAGGGGGTTCTGGCCGTGGGTGGGGCTAAGACACGGGGGTTCTGGCCGTGGGTGGGGCTAAGACAGTGGGTTCTGGCCGTGGGTGGGGCTAAGACAGTGGGTTCTGGCCGTAGATGGGGCTAAGACAGGCGGTTCTGGCCGTGGGTGGGGCTAAGACAGGGGTTCTGGCCGTGGATGGGGCTAAGACATGGGTTCTGGCCGTGGGTGGGGCTAAGACAGGCGGTTCTGGCCGTGGGTGGGGCTAAGACAGTGGGTTCTGGCCGTGGGTGGGGCTAAGACAGGGGTTCTGGCCGTGGATGGGGCTAAGACAGAGGGTTCTGGCCGTGGGTGGGGCTAAGACAGGGGGTTCTGGCCGTGGGTGGGGCTAAGACAGGGGGTTCTGGCCGTGGATGGGGGCTAAGACAGGGGTTCTGGCCGTGGGTGGGGCTAAGACAGGGGTTCTGGCCGTGGGTGGGGCTAAGACAGGGGTTCTGGCCGTGGGTGGGGCTAAGACAGGGGTTCTGGCCGTGGGTGGGGCTAAGACAGGGGTTCTGGCCGTGGGTGGGGCTAAGACAGGGGTTCTGGCCGTGGGTGGGGCTAAGACAGGGGTTCTGGCCGTGGGTGGGGCTAAGACAGGGGTTCTGGCCGTGGGTGGGGCTAAGACAGGGGTTCTGGCCGTGGGTGGGGCTAAGACAGGGGTTCTGGCCGTGGGTGGGGCTAAGACAGGGGTTCTGGCCGTGGGTGGGGCTAAGACAGGGGTTCTGGCCGTGGGTGGGGCTAAGACAGGGGTTCTGGCCGTGGGTGGGGCTAAGACAGGGGTTCTGGCCGTGGGTGGGGCTAAGACAGGGGTTCTGGCCGTGGGTGGGGCTAAGACAGAGGGTTCTGGCCGTGGGTGGGGCTAAGACAGGCGGTTCTGGCCGTGGGTGGGGCTAAGACAGGGGTTCTGGCCGTGGATGGGGCTAAGACAGAGGGTTCTGGCCGTGGGTGGGGCTAAGACAGAGGGTTCTGGCCGTGGGTGGGGCTAAGACAGGGGGTTCTGGCCGTGGATGGGGGCTAAGACAGGGGTTCTGGCCGTGGGTGGGGCTAAGACAGGGGTTCTGGCCGTGGGTGGGGCTAAGACAGGGGTTCTGGCCGTGGGTGGGGCTAAGACAGGGGTTCTGGCCGTGGGTGGGGCTAAGACAGGGGTTCTGGCCGTGGGTGGGGCTAAGACAGGGGTTCTGGCCGTGGGTGGGGCTAAGACAGGGGTTCTGGCCGTGAGTGGGGCTAAGACAGGGGGTTCTGGCCGTTTGTGGGGCTAAGACACGGGGGTTCTGGCCGTGGGTGGGGCTAAGACAGGGGGTTCTGGCCGTGGGTGGGGCTCAGACAGGGGTTCTGGCCGTGGGTGGGGCTAAGACAGGGGTTCTGGCCGTGGGTGGGGCTAAGACAGGGGGTTCTGGCCGTGGGTGGGGCTAAGACAGGGGGTTCTGGTCGTGGGTGGGGCTAAGACAGGGGGTTCTGGCCGTGGGTGGGGCTAAGACAGGGGTTCTGGCCGTGGGTGGGGCTAAGACAGGGGGTTCTGGCCGTGGGTGGGGCTAAGACACGGGGGTTCTGGCCGTGGGTGGGGCTAAGACAGTGGGTTCTGGCCGTGGGTGGGGCTAAGACAGTGGGTTCTGGCCGTAGATGGGGCTAAGACAGGCGGTTCTGGCCGTGGGTGGGGCTAAGACAGGGGTTCTGGCCGTGGGTGGGGCTAAGACAGGCGGTTCTGGCCGTGGGTGGGGCTAAGACAGAGGGTTCTGGCCGTGGGTGGAGCTAAGACAGGGGTTCTGGCCGTGGGTGGGGCTAAGACAGGCGGTTCTGGCCGTGAGTGGGGCTAAGACAGGCGGTTCTGGCCGTGAGTGGGGCTAAGACAGGCGGTTCTGGCCGTGAGTGGGGCTAAGACAGGCGGTTCTGGCCGTGAGTGGGGCTAAGACAGGCGGTTCTGGCCGTGAGTGGGGCTAAGACAGGCGGTTCTGGCCGTGGGTGGGGCTAGGACAGGGGGTTCTGGCCGTGGGTGGGGCTAGGACAGGGGGTTCTGGCCGTGAGTGGGGCTAAGACAGGCGGTTCTGGCCGTGGGTGGGGCTAAGACAGGCGGTTCTGGCCGTGGGTGGGGCTAAGACAGGCGGTTCTGGCCGTGGGTGGGGCTAAGACAGGCGGTTCTGGCCGTGGGTGGGGCTAAGACAGTGGGTTTTGGCCGTGGGTGGGGCTAAGACAGTGGGTTTTGGCCGTGGGTGGGGCTAAGACAGGCGGTTCTGGCCGTGAGTGGGGCTAAGACAGGCGGTTCTGGCCGTGGGTGGGGCTAAGACAGGGGGTTCTGGCCGTGAGTGGGGCTAAGACAGGCGGTTCTGGCCGTGAGTGGGGCTAAGACAGGCGGTTCTGGCCGTGAGTGGGGCTAAGACAGGCGGTTCTGGCCGTGGGTGGGGCTAAGACAGGGGGTTCTGGCCGTGAGTGGGGCTAAGACAGGCGGTTCTGGCCGTGAGTGGGGCTAAGACAGGCGGTTCTGGCCGTGGGTGGGGCTAAGACAGGCGGTTCTGGCCGTGGGTGGGGCTAAGACAGGCGGTTCTGGCCGTGGATGGGGCTAAGACAGAGGGTTCTGGCCGTGGGTGGGGCTAAGACAGGGGTTCTGGCCGTGGGTGGGGCTAAGACAAAGGTTCTGGCCGTGGGTGGGGCTAAGACAGGGGTTCTGGCCGTGGGTGGGGCTAAGACAGGGGTTCTGGCCGTGGGTGGGGCTAAGACAGAGGGTTCTGGCCGTGGGTGGGGCTAAGACAGTGGGTTCTGGCCGTGGGTGGGGCTAAGACAGAGGGTTCTGGCCGTAGATGGGGCAAAGACAGAGGGTTCTGGTGTGCTTACCTCTCAGTCTTGCCATTAAACGCACATAACAGTACTGAAAATAGTGATATTCAAATAAATGTTTTATAGCTGCTATAGAAAACAAATTTGAAATTAAATTCGTTTGGATACCATCACATGTTGGCATCTCAAAATATAATGCTGTTGACATGCTTGCAAAGACAGCCTATAGTAGACCAGAAGTAAAAATTAATATGGGTGTTTTATTAGCAGTGACAAAGTAAAGTAAATTTTATTCAGGAAAGTACATACATAGTTGATTTACAAACATAATGTTGGATTTATAGATAGAGCTAGTGCATACAGGACCTAAAGCCACTAGTACGCATAGCGTTTCGAGCAAGGTGAGGTGGGGGAAAAACACTGACTAATAGTAATTGAGCTTAAAGTATAAATTGCGTTGAAAACAATAAAAAAGGGGGGAACGTGGTAGAAAATAGTCAATATACAAGTTGATCAACACACACAATTGTTTTAAATTAGTAAGACATGGGTTGACATTTAGGGGTAAGGTAGGTTACATGGAGTTAATTAGGTACTACTTAGTTTTCATCTTAAACTGGTTGAGAGAGGTACAGTCTTTGATATGATTGGGAAGGTCATTCCACATTCTGGGTCCCTTGATTTTGTTGAGCATTTCTAGTTTAAGTCGCACTCTTGGAATATCAACTAGGTA